AATCTCTGCAGTGCAATTCAAGTCCTCGACCCCAAATACGTACTTCCGGTGTGCCTGTGCAGGCTGCTTTGCCTGACGAGGAAGACACCCAAGTAGAGCCGCTCACGCCATCGACCCCAGGAGCTGACACAGGCTTCTTTCCTGAGCATGGTTTCCATGAGAAAAGCGAGGCTCAGCACCAGGAGGATGCTTGGTGGGAGGGCGCCTGTCACGGTGAAGGCGAAAATGCCGGGGAGGAGGAAACGCCACTGGAGGATGACGAATGTCTGCAAGGGGATGAAGTTGAGGAGGAAGGAGAAGCTGATGAAGCTATGGCTTTGGAGGAGTGCTTACGAGAGTTCGATGACCCCGAGGGATCCCAAAGTGCTGGGGAACTGGTGGACCACGAGAAGGGCAGGAAGCCTGCTGCTTCAGAGACGGCAGGGGCACTGAAGGTGGGTCTCATGGTTTTGCTACATGAGTGATTCATGAGCCTGCCTTTGATTGAGGCAGTCTGTCGGTGTCAGTCGTAATAATGAAGTCGTACCTAATACAACCAGTTCGTTGCAGTCTTGCTGCATCGTTGAGAAGCATGAAAATACTCCGCAGTTGGGTTTTCTTGCAGTGACTATTTGGTACAGTGTGCTGCGACTTGATCTATTATGTGTCCTGGGTTGGGCCAGGACCGCAAGCCCTTGACGGACATGCCTCATGTGGCAGAGGATTTGAAGGCGCAGGCAGATGCTTCGTTGAAGCGTTTGAAAGCTTTGGAGCCGGAAGACCCGGACTTGCTGGAAGTACTTTGCTTGCACTTTCGGACCTAAGGTTTCTGCAGCTTGTGACGTGTACTTGATTTCGGTTTCAGCAATTGAGGCTGCATGCTGAAAAGCTTATAGAGCTTAACCATTGTAGGTGTGCCCTCAAACTTGTGTGTATGAACAACATTATACATAACATCCCAGGCTCAGAAGGCCATTTCAGCGGCTGCCCGTGCAAAGAACGAGGAAAACGAGGACCAGGAGGAGGAGGCAGAAGATGAGAATCCGACCAAGGTGCATGAGGAAGGGAGGGGCCGTAAGGGCCCTGCCAAAGCAAAAGGCAAAGCCAAGCGGAAAAAATGCAAATCCAGAAAGAACTTGCAGCGTGCCTTGGACAAGGCAGCGGATGAAGAGGCACAGCAGGCAGCGAAGCTTGCTGAGGAGGATAAGGAAGCTGAGGAACCAGCTCAGGAACCCCCAAGCAAGAAAGCGAGGCCCCCCGACGCCCCCGTGCCACCTGCAAAGACTTCCGAGCCCGAGCCCTCTCTCATCATCATCACAATAAGCCTTTTTGTTAGCTTCCAATGTTTCTGTGCACGTTCATATTTACGCCAGCTGGTGTGGTGGTTGTGTCGGGTTTTCTATGCTCTACATAGGGCCGAATACTGTATACCATGCTATACGACACAATGTGCACTGGTGCCTTTGTGTGTGTGTGTGCATGTGTAGCTGGGTTTGGTCGAGCTGAGTGCAGTAGCATTTGCCTCGTGCTGGTTTCGGAAAGCTTGGCTGATTAACCAAAACTGGTTGCCATAAGGATCCAGTGTCTGCTATGTTGCAAAAGCTCGAGCAGAGGGATGTGGAGTTCAAGTTCCATCCCAATTCGAAGCCCCTTTGGCATGGAACGTTAATGCTGTACACCTCATAAGACTTATATGACGCTGGGAGACTTGTGCGCCTGCTTTGTGACTCCTTGTGACGAAGAAATCGAGAAACCTGATCTCTGTGGGTTGTTGATCTCAGGTCATTCACGCTTTACCCTCCTGATGCCACTGTGGCTGCGGCGCTTGCTCGTGGTGTCACGTTGACCAGCATTGTTTGTCGGCCAGATACCTAGCTTCGTATGTGTGCTGCTGTAGAAAGCATGATATGACACAGGAGTTCGTGTGCTGCTGAACAGCAGATGTTTGGTTCTAGATCAAGCCATATCAACAAAAGTTGCTGCCAAGGGTGCCGGAGCAGACCTTTTATGTGAACCCCAAGAGCTCTGTAGCAGACGAGCTGTTGGTCCGCGTGAATGCCGAGTTGTTGACGAATTACAAGGCCGCAGGTTTGGGTTGCACGTCGATTTTACATTTCTTCCGGGATTCATCGCATTCAGCTGCTGTTGGGATTCGGGTTTGCTTTTGGACAAGGATTGCCAATCTGCCCTCTTTCATTTCCCTGACATACATGGGCCCCGGTTCCGAACCTGCTGTACCTTCTTACTGCTGTGGGCCCAGATTGCTGCATCCATCGATCTATCTGTCTAGATATATATATATATATATATATGTACTTCTAGTACTTCAATATACAGTGAGGACAGTGGAGGCCCTCCTTGCAGTTCGTTTTTGTCCTGCCTGGCAGACAAACACGAAGGGCGGCATCAATGTCGCCTGGAGGATGTCAGGAGGAGTGGTGCAGGCGCCGGTTCCTCAGCCCAGTGTTTTCCCCGCAACATTGCCAACTGTAAGTTTCCTCGGTACACTGATTGATCGATGTCTCTCCCTCTTTCAATTTTGCACCATGTGGCAGTGAATACATACAAGAAAGTTTTGGAAAAGTAGTTTAAAGATCGCAAAGCAAAAGCTGGATTTTGTGGTGGTGGCCACCCCCGCCCAGGTGGGACATGGCCCGCTTGTTCGCGGGCTGGCAGAGACCTCCATCGTGGTTGAAGGACCATCCCTTTGCTGGCTACTGTCGCTTGTTGTTCTGAGAGAAAGCTGGAGCGTGATTCATTGGAATGTTAATGACATTGTATGACCTTTCCACTGGCTTTGTCACACTTGGTTCGAAAGTATTACTACATATGTTGGTAAATCTACAACCTCAATGAATCAGGTAGTTGATTATGTATGTCTCTGTGTGTGTGTATGTATGCAAGTACGCAGGCATGCATGTGTCTGTATTTATGCATGTATGCATGCATGTGTGTGTTAACATGCTCATATGTGCATGCATGTACACCTGCAATGTATTTTCAGAGATGTACTATCTACAACTTAAATTCGGTCGCCGGATGTATCTCCATACATGTGTGTGTGTGCTTTAGGAGTCACTGCATGGGACCATGATGAAAATGTGCACTAGAGGACCAAGCCCACGACCCTCATATATAATACATATACAGACATAGACATTGATATAGATATGTGTCATGTATGTATACATATATATATATGTAGATATACATATATATATGTATGTATGTACATCTGTGCATAGAGGCCTTGTACGTGTTTGTTTGCAGCATGGTGCAGTGACCGCATGAAAAGCACTGAAACACATGAACCTCAACAACAAGATTTGCAGCGCTTATTGCAATGTACTTGAAACACAGCTTCTAGGACCCCTCAGGGGGACTACTATCGAAATTCCAGCTTTATATTGAACACTCACTGCTTGTAGAAAGCCTCGACCTCAGCAGGCAAAGAAACCGTGGTGTATGTCTGACTTGGTATATAACCCTGGTGCCAGTGTCTCATTACAGGCATGGCCCGGAAAGTATTTATGAACTCCCTAGCTAGTCTTGTAATAAGCCCCGCTTTGAGGATTCATCGGCGGCCTGACTTCGCTCACATGCTCGAGGCTCCGTAGTACAGTGTCACATTCGGCATCAACTTTCGTAAATGTCTGACCTTTCGCTTGACTGAAACGTTGATGTGATCGGTGATCTCTCTTTGCTCATATGAACCTGCTGCGCAGGCAATGGGCACTGGACATCATCTCCCTTGCCTGACTCTTTCTGCTCGACAAGCATTTCTTCTGATTTTGCGCACTCCCCCTGAAGGTTGCCTCGCTGTCCATTGATACCTAGATGTCACGTTCCCTACTGGCTTGGAGTGCATTCTAGCTGCTGTAGGCTAGGGGTGACTTTAGGGATTGGTGCCTGTGGGTCGGACTTGTGCACAAGAGTCTGTAGCCTGCAAGGCATTCGAAAACAAGCAGTCTGGGTTTGGGAGCTAAGGGGTCAGGGGTTGGGTGTTTAGGTGTTCCTTTGCGGGTTTCTAAGGGTTGAGTGTTTTGGGACTTATGGTGTGGGGTCTTGGGTGTTGCTGCAGGTGTTGTCGTTGTTCTTGTTGTTGCTGATGCTGCTGCTCTTTCAATTTTGGTCGTTATCGTCGTCGTCGTCGTCGTCGTTGGTGTCGTCGTCGTCGCCAAGGTCGCTGCTGTCGTTGTCGTGCTTGTACTGCTGTCTGGCCCTACTTAGCTGGTAAGTGGGGGCCCCAAAGATCGGTGTTATGCTTGAAAAACCAAAACCTCAAGTGGCAGCTGTGAAACCTAACCACTGATTCTGATTATGAGCTCAGGTGTCCCACCAGCACCCATTGTAGTCAGTCTGCTTGAATCTTGATGGCTTTTTGGAGTGTTGCCACAAAGCTAAAGGTGGCACAGCACTTCATAAGGGTTCAGGGCTAAGTCGGCAGAAAGCTCATTCAGTCGGAAACCTTTGCATTTGACAGGTGATAGCTTGGTCACTGGGCTATAGGTTATTGGATAGACTTCCAATGGCAGCTGAAGTAATGGATCACTAGGCATAGTGCAACTGTAAGTTTGCACAACTTAGTAGATTCGGCACCTTCGCGCAAAGTGTCCTGGTGAACCCTGTAAAAGAAACAATTGGAAGTCCTAACCCGAAAACTCTAAAACCCTAAACCCTAAACCGGTCTTGGAGTCGGATGTTGCACAGATCAGAGTGCTTCTTTTTCCCGGCTTCCGGCAAGCTCGCTGCGGCTGTGCTGCCTGGGCATGCTATCGGGTAGTGTCGTCCAGTGCAGGATAAACCCCCGGAAAGTTAGATCAGAAAGTGCTGTTGCGACAAAATTATTAAGCCGTTGACACCGGCTGATCAGTCCACCATCTAGAACTGCAGTGCTTAATTTGTGATGTGGTGTGGCGTCCGAAGGTCCATAAGTGGTGCACTGCGGTGCATAATGTCTCCTTACACTAGGAAGCCTCTTGCTGCTAGCTAGCAGTGCAAGCCATGCCAAGTTGTCAAAAGCCATGGTGCTATCGGCCACTGGCAGTGTCATCTCGCAGTTGCCACTTGCTGCTGGCGCTGGGTGTGCCGCTGGTGATGAGCCTTGGCTTCACGTGTTGTGGTTCCATTGGAGCAATGGCTAAAGTCTTTCCGAGTTCGGCTTGTGTGACAGCAAGAACAGAACTATGGAGAAAATAACGCATCCTGTGATCACACAGGACTAATCTTCCGTGGTCTGAGATTTGAACAGCTTGAACTCTTTGCAGCTTAGCTATATAGTAAAACAGAGTCCATTAATCACATACGTATATACATATATATATATATATGCATGTATATGTATACATATATATATATATATAGATAATAAATATGTATATACTTTATACATATATCCTTATATAAATAAATAAATATATATATATATATATATATATGTATAAATACATAACTATAAATATATATATATATATATATATTTATAGTTTATACACCTACATACATATCTAGTGTACGTTGCCGGTACTGGATTTCGCGGAAATCTTCCAAAGCTAGGTTACTACAATCAAACACTGGATGAACCAGCAGAATGAACCACACTATGCTGGGGTGGCAGCGCTACATTTTGCTCGACATCGAAGCCTGTGTGGTTGTTCATTCAACTGGCTAGAACTATTAGGATCATCAGCAGCAAGCCACAGTGTGAGGCCTTTGTTAAAAAGTAAACACACTTTTTTGTCGAATGACAGGCAGGTGTTCCAGGTTACTGTGTTGGGTTTTGTGATTCGTTAAAGAT